CTTCCGGCACTGAGTGCGCCCACTACACTCGAGTGAGTATGCTGCCTCACCTGCTGGACCCCTAAGCATGGTGACCTTGTCCCGAATTTTAGCCCCTGGTAACTGCACCTGGTATCGTCCTCGATATCAAAGTTCTTGACTGCCGCATGGCCCGAGGTTAACACCCAACCTCCTTCAAGCCCCTAGAGATCTGAGTCAGGAAGGGAATCATGTTTCTCAGCCACTTTAGTCCGAATGTTATCGTTGTCTTCGGACTACTTCTGCCGGTTCCTTACAGCGGCACCGCTAACAAATCACGAAATAGATACATCCTAGCCTGCTTGTTTCGAAACCTCCTTGTCGGGAACTTCCTTCGTGGTTGCAAGCTGGCCCACAGAATGGGTTGTGCCTAGCATCTCCCTGTCCTGACCTCTTCTGGAATTCCCGTCCGGATCACACATGGTTGTTGACAGGCCAGCCCAGCAAGCCATCTATCATCCTTGGCTGCTCACGGGGCTGCATGTTGGGCACCTGCCAGTAACACGCCAAGGTTGCCCCCTCCACCGACTATTACCTACTGTCTCGAGACCAACGAATAATGCATGAGTAACCGGACGGCACATTTTGGGGGTAGAAGCACGATTTTGTACCTGGACCCCGCCATTATCCTCGCCGATACTACCGGCCGGCGGATTGTTGACCACTACATTGATGAGCCAAAGCACAGCTTCCAACTTGACGGGTTTCCCGTGGTCGTATGCCGTATAGGACCCTTGACTTCTGATGATACGGTCCGCAAGGATGGTACGTATTTCCGAGCCAGACTCGCGCGCGCAGCAGCACGTCCCAAGCTTAGACATCTACCCCACTACCTGTAGTGGCCGTGTTATTTGGCCATCGCCCCCTTTTCCCTGCCTGTCCAGACCCTCCGCCAGTAGCGCTAAATCCCGCCAGCAGATCGCCGACTAGACTCCTGCCGCTCATCGGGCAGCCTCATCAGTCGTGGCGATCATCCCACATAGTGTCCCAGCAAGGATCAACCCCACCGGTATGGTACACCACGCTCACCACTCTAGACGGCTTCTTCCAGCTTGGATCTGAGAGACCACGAGCTTTAAACAGGTCAGGCCCTCATTGGCGCAGGGATACTTCCAAGGACCAGGTGCCTCCCGTCTTGACGTTTTCTTCGCACCAAGATCATTTTTCTGAGATCGTTCCTCGTCTCTGCTTTCTCACTGATTGGTTCACGACATTCAACCAACTCTTCCTCGCCAGCTGCCGCTCCTAATCCTTGCCACCGTGGGACTGCTTTGTTGAATCACTTACACTTTTCCCTTTCTTCCCTTGGCCTCGTACGAAACCGTCCGTCAGCGTCGCTCGAGCCAATGACCCGACTGCTAGAGATTCGCTTTCTCACCTGAATTCTGTCGACCTTTTTTCCACCGCTCGACGCTGTTCCTGCGATCCGTGGATCAGGCTCGGCAGACGACGCGGGGACTGGGCAAGGCCACCTAGTGTAGGAGGGTGAGTCTGCGTGGTGGGCCACTTCGGACTGTTTTCCCTGATCTGCCGTGTCAGAGATCTATCACTCAGCGCAAGGTGGACTGCCTGATAGAAGCCTCCAGCGCCCTGGTCTGCCGTGATTATCATCAGCCATCCATCATGGGTGATTACTACCACCACTTCTTGACCTCCATGGCCGGAGTGGTGGGCAATTTGGACACAAGCAGCACCGAGGAAGCGCAACTCCAGCAGTTTGGGGATTCCCAATCACCCGTGACGCAGTCACCACTGCATGGTCCGATCCCACCTGCATTCCAAAATTTTGGGTATTTCACGGACTACTCTGAGAATGTGCCATACGCTGCACCCAAATCACAAAAAAGCCGGAAGAAGTCTGCACATGGTATAGACCATGTCAAGCACAGGCGCACTCGTTCCGGCTGCTTTACCTGTCGGAGCAGAAGGGTCAAGGTCAGCTTTCTCTTGCATTCCTGTGCTTGGTGGTCTCCTAATCTTTCGCCAGTGTGACGAAACGCGACCAATTTGCGATCGTATGGCTCCCGACAGGTGTAATATACCCATGGACAGGCTGACGATATTCAGGTTGCCGGAAAGGGACACGCGAATGTCTTTACCCAGATCCACCACCCACTAAAGGTTCCCCAGCACCGAGCACCACGTCGAAAGACTCGGGCAGCATCAAGCAACAGGCAAGCCCAACCTCATCGCACGAAGCAGAAGATGTGGAGGACGATGTCAGCCGGAGCACCAAGCTCGAAACAATTCCGGATGAGGATGAAGACGTCAACCAGATTCCGAACTTTTCTGAACGACCGACATGGTCGCGCGCGACATCGACAGGGACCTCCATCAACCAGATTTCGCGAGCTACACGGCAAACCTCGGAATCACCGTCTGCAGACGGTAATGTAAGCTCCCCATCGAACTCGACCAGAACTAGCAGCACACATACAGCAACAACACCATTGGCTGTGGATAACCCAACCCTTTCGACCACCTCGTTTCCCGACTGGACTCACCTATCCCCAGGTGTACAACAATATATGAACTACTTCTACAAGCATATGGATCACCACAACTATTGTATTGTGCACGATGGCGACAACTTCTTCCACGGCATCCTACCAAACTTTGCCTTGCAAAATGAAGCGCTCTTGAATGCCATAGTCGGATTCTCGGCATATCTTTACTCGCTGGAGCACAATCCCAACGGCAACATGTGGGAGTTTCTCCAGTACTATAACAGGGGCGTGACGCTGTTACTGGCTTCTCTAAAGAGGAAGGAGAAGCCAGATATTGGAACGCTCCTTACGATCTTGCAGCTAGCCACTATTGAAGTAAGAAAGCTATTCTCCCAGCTGGAGATGACCAATAGCTAACAGATCGAAGGAGTACCTTGGTGACTGGATCAACCTAATGGGGCATCAGAGGGCAGCTTGCGACATCATCACCAGACTTTTCACCCCGCAGACAGCCGTGCAAACCCCCTTGGGTCGAATGGTTCTCACGTGGTATTCTCGGTTCGATACCTTTGTAGCTATGATGGGTGGCTTTCCGACTGCGCTTGGGCAAGAGTGGTTCACACACCACATCGACTACGCACGACATCAGCAATTGTCTTCCAACGAGGAACAACGCTCTTTCCATTGGAAAGCAGAGACACAGTACGCAGGTTTACGCTTGCTCTCCAGAGAGATGTCTATGCTATATGCCCGAATCACCAGGGGGCAGATGACGTCGGAGGAGTTCGAGATGGCTCATGCGCAGACGTTGCAGCGACTTCGGGACTGGAAGGTCCAGCAGGACGCTGAACTTGAGGACCCGACAAGTCTTGTTACAGACTTTACTTGGGCGCCGGTTCCCGATGAAGCTGATATTGTCAGCCCCTTCTCGCCGGGAATGCTCTACGATCACCCAAAACTGGCGACGACGTTTTTGACCGTCATCTGGCTGTCCATGATCATCATGCACCAATGCCAGTCGCCCACTTCGGACCGCGATCGGTTGTACAGCGAGCTAGCAGGCCACGCATATCACGTATGCACGATCTTCGAGCTGATCCATCATTGGCCTAACAGCCCAAAAGGTGGTCTCCTACCGCTGGAAGCACCCCTCGCCATCAGTGCGTTGTTCGTCCCGCAGGATGCGAAGCACCACATGTGGTTTAGGCGCAGGTTCGCTTTGATGGAGACAAAGGGGTGAGACTCGATCAACTGCTGCCTTCTCCAATCCAGAATCTGCTGCTAATAATTACTGTCTTCCAGATATATCCATCCTGTCAAGGTGCGCAGCAAGATGGGTGTACTATTCGGTGCACCTGAATGTGAGCGTTGGTGGCTACCCAACGATGAGGGGTTCAGCCCTCTGCTCCAGGCAATTCGCAACCTGGCCGACGAACGTAACGCCACCGCCATCAATGCGCAAGAGGAGAATCTGCGCGAGGTTCGGCATATCTTCACCAAAATGCAGTTGGCCGAAGGTCAACAGGCGAACTAAGAAGACGTAAGACAGATGCCCATGTCATTTTCTTCTTGAAAAGAATGGCTACAAATTTCCAGGCTGTGCTTGGAGAGGCGCCATAACGATAACGATATATGGAAACGCATGCCTGCGTGCGGTGGTGTTCAAATGAGTAGAGAAATGCTGCGTCAACTGCATTATCTACAACTGGCTGGATATCATTTGCACGAGAACCCTGTCAGCTCGACTTCGGGGGAGATACGAGAGCCTAGAAACATCTTGTGCGAGATCTAGGGTTGCAATTGCATAGAGCATCTGAGCATGATTCGTGCAGAAGATGAGGCTATGAAATGAACTAGGCTAATAGTGATAGCGGACGGGGAAATGACCCATGAATGAGCATATCATGTTACTGATTGCGACCCAACTCTGATGCGGGTGGATTTCTATGTCGCTGCATTACAATCATCTACAGACAAACAAACATGAAAGTGCATCCCAGGGCAAAGAGTCACGGCTCGAACCTGCTGATACATTATGGTAGACTGGCTCACTCACGCCTCCTTTGTAGACTCTCCTTGGCTGTCCTTCTGAGTCTTTGCCTCTTCCGTGCTCCCCTCGTCAACGCTGTCCACCTGCGCCTCCGCTTTCTCGGCCTCCTCTACCGCAGCTGCCCCCTCATCCTTGACCTTCTCCGGCTCTGCGTCTTGGGTATCTTCCGGCGCCTCGGCTGTCGAAGCGGACTCCTCCACGGCCTCCTTAGTGAACTTGTGCGTGCTGGACCCTGTCTCCTCCTTCATCTTCTCCTCCGCAGCCGCGGGGTCCTCAACCTTGTCCTGCGCCTCCTGCAGCCCACCCGCCGGTTCCTCGTCCGCGCTCTCGGCCCTGTCTTCGGCTGTCATTATTGTTGTGGTTTCCAGGGCAGATTTCTCCGCGTCTACGGACTCAAGCGCCGCCTTATCCTCCTCCGTTATGGGCGCGGTTTCAGACAGCAGCGCCTCGGTCTCTGGGTGCGCGGTCTCCGGGTGCGCCGCGTCCTCCTGCTGCGGCTCTGATGTGGGCGGAGCATCCTCCTCGGGTTCGGCTCCGAGGTGCTCGACGATGGTGCGGTCATTCTCCGGCGGCGAGGCCGGGGGAGAGGCGTCGTCCATGACCTCCTTGGCGACGATGACAGGGACGTCGGCCGTCTCGGCCTCCTCGGCCATATCAGGGGCTGCAGAGATGCACATCTCACGCAGGCGGCTCGTGACGTCATGGTCCTCCTCGTCCGTTTCGAGGACGGTGGTGACGGCGCTGCCTGTGGAGGGGCTGGCGCGGATGTGGCGGCGCGTGTTGGTGCGGCCGATGGACTGGTAGTTTTCGTCGGCGGCGGCGCCAATGTCGTCGTGACCGCCGCGGGATGGGGGCTTGGCGATGGAGATGGCGGCGGGTTGCTGATGGTGGTTGTTGCTGTTGGTGTTGTTGTGGGGGTGGTACTGCTTGCCGCTGGCGCTGCCTTGGTCGTCGTTGTCGTTGCTCGGGTCGGAGGCGGCCGCATTCGTCTCGAGGCCCTCGGGCTCCGGAGGCAGCTTGTAGTTCTCGGCGGGCAGGAGGTCGTACATGTCGCAGACGGTCTTGAAGAAGACGTAGAGGCCGGTCTGGCCCTCAATGTTCCAAAAGACGGCGCGGTGCTGGAACCAGGCGTGGGCGAAGATGCGATGGAGGCGGCGGAAGACGTTGACAAGGTTCTTGACGGCGACGCTCTTGTTATGGGCGTCAGAGGAGACGACAAAGCGCGAGGGGAAGATCTTGGGGTCTGTGACGACGTTGGCAGCCCAGTCGAGGGTGTGGCAGCAGTAGTCGATGGCGCAGCAGCTCTTGGGCTGCTCGTGGACGGCGCAAAGAAATTGCCACTCTGAGGCGCGCATCTCGGGGCAGGTCGAGGCGCTGCAAGGGGGTGCGTCGAAGAGGAAGCCTACAATGAGGGTGTTGCATTGGGAGATGAGGAAGCGACACAGCTCGTAAAGCCACAGCGTGCGGTCGATCGAGGGCGGTGGCGTGGCGAGCTGGATGGCGGTCTGACGGGTTATGCCATGGGCGCCGCCATTGGTGTGGAAGTGGTGGAGAGCGGCGAGGTGTTCCTGGAGCTGAAAGGCCGAGTCGAGCTGTGTGGAACAACATGTTAGAGCCTGAGGAATGGGGGACAGAGATCGCGCAACCGGTTTGGGGGGGTGGGGGAAGCTGCTGATAGACAGAAGGCTTTGCGATGGAACGAACCTCATTGAGGGGAACCAGAGGAGGGCCTGTTGCCATGTCCTGGGCTTTCGTGCCGGGATGAATTCGACGTTTCGCATTTGCCTCCATAATACTCTTCTCAAGCTGCGCGGCCTGGCGATTCGCTTGCGCGCCCATGGATGGCGACGGAGGGCCGATCTGATCTTCGGCGGCTGGAGGAGGGCTCGGAAGCCGGGGGGAGGGCGGCGCCGCCAAGGCCATTGCGACGGTGAATGTGTTGCAGGCTACGCCAGATTGTTTTCCGTGTACTTCCTTCTGGACGATAGAAGTTATGCACAGCGATGTGGGTAGGTATCGTAGGCACAGGGACAAAAAGTTGTCGTGATGTTGGTGGGTGGTTGGTGGAGGAGGCGCCAATCCAAAGGACGCTGCAGCAACCGCCAGCAAGCAGGAGGCAAGTGCAAGTGCACACGGACACAGGCAGGGGCAGGGATCCGTCGCAACGACCGCCTTAGTCAGCAGGGCCACAGCCTCCGCCATGTTGGCACCCACCTACGGCGTCATACGCCCTGTAGCTGTAGAACAGGTCTGAGTTAAGCCGCAGACAGGCGACTGACTGGATCCAAGTTGAATGACAGGAATCCAACACCGACCACTGCTTTCTCGTAAAAAAACGAGACCCTATGATTTCTTCCCTCATTAATAAATTCATACGTCACGCCGCTATCACTGTCTGCCCCCTGCCTACGCCCTGAAGCCTGCAGCTGCAGCAATCCGTCCTCGTATCTTTCTTCGCACTACCCCGCCATTATGAACTTTGACGATGATGCCCCGCCAGATCTGGTCGAGACTCAGACTCAGAACCCGTCTCAGGCGGAGCCGTCACTGAGCACAGGGCCGCAGGACGATCTCGAAGAGAAACGAATCAAAGTCCCAATCACCATTGTCACTGGTTATTTGGGTGCTGGCAAAACCACTCTGTTGAATTACATCTTGACCGCGCAGCATGGCAAGAAGATTGCCGTCATCATGAATGGTTTGTTGCGTGTTGCTGGTAAAAGTTGGTTGGACCTTTGCTAACGCTCCCAACAGAATTTGGCGACTGTAAGAAGTCGAAGCAGCGAGTGTAGCCATGTCACTTTCTGACCAGTTATAGCCATTGACATTGAAAAGTCACTTACCGTCAACAAAGGGGACGAAAAGGTTGAAGAGTGGCTCGAGGTCGGCAACGGATGTTTGTGCTGTTCCGTCAAGTAAGGATCCGAACCCCTCATGCGTGCTCACTTTACAATGCTGATGGCTTCAGAGACACCGGCGTCAACGCGATCGAGTCGCTGATGGAGAAGAAGGGTGCCTTCGACTACATTCTCCTTGAGACCACCGGCCTGGCGGACCCTGGTAACCTAGCGCCGCTCTTCTGGGTCGATGACGGCCTCGGCAGCACCATCTACCTCGACGGCATCGTCACCCTCGTCGACGCAAAGAATATTCTCCGCAGTCTCGACGATCCGTCTGGCAAGATCGAAGCCGAGGAAGAGCACGATCACGACCACAGCAGCAGCCCGCTCATGACAACAGCGCATATGCAAATCTCCCACGCCGACGTCATCGTCATCAACAAGGCAGATCTCGTCACTGCAGATGAACTGCAACAGGTCAGGGACAGGATCGAGTCCATCAATGGTCTCGCCAAGATTCACGTAACGCAGAAGAGCGAGGTTCCGCAGCTCGAGGGTGTCCTGCTGGACCTGCACGCCTACGACGAGCTTGCCGAGCTTGACTTCAGCCGCAAAGGCCACAGCCATCTAGACCCCGTACGTTTTTCTCCTTGCTGTGTGATGTATGCGCAATGCTCACGTTGTCTAGGCCATCTCTACCGTCTCCATACCGGTTCCTGTTTTGTCGCCCAGCCAAGAGGCAAAAGTGGACAAATGGCTGCGAAGTGTGCTCTGGGATCACGAACTGCCAGGGGAGGGGAGGACCATTGAGACGCACCGCTCAAAAGGGCGGTTGGTATTCGACGACGGCAAAGTCAAGATGATACAGGGCGTCCGGGAAATCTTTGAGATCTTGGAGGCGCCTGAGCAGTCATCGATAGATGGGCCAAAGCAAGGCAAGATTATTCTCATCGGGCGCCACCTGCAAGGCATCGATTTTGAGAAGAGCCTCAAATATGTTTTACAATCATAGATTTACTTCGACTGGAAACAAATAAAAACAAAGTCAGCCATGGAAATCAAGCGGTTGCTTGTAGTGTTTGCCGGAAATGGAGGGAATGTCAATAGCATTTCCCCCCTCGTATAAGCTGAGTCGTGACAGCCAACGGCGCTCACGCATCTTGCCCAGGCACACGTCTTTAAGGATAACATTTCTTATTTCGTATCTTTTCTGTGAGGCAAACAATGAGCAAGAAGGGAGAAGATACGCTAAGAGCGATGATTGATGGCTGAGCCTCACCTAGTACCTAAATGCTGTGCTCCTCACCGAACACCGAGGCAGCCGCATCCAGACCGAGGGGCGTCGGTGCACAGGCCATCACATCGGATCCATCTTTGACCGTATCTCCGTGTTTAGCGTTTGCCCAGTTGCAGGCTGTGGAGTGCATGTCAGGCGGCCAGGGGGGGGGGGGTTGATTTGTGGACAACGCCAACCTCGAACCGCCTAAGCAGAGAAACCTCCAGCGATCATAGCTTCGTCTGAAGGCAAAACCCGTGCGAACACTCGACAACCACGCCACCCGATACACAAACCCTTTTTCTCGCGAACTCGAACCTCGACGCAACGACGCGACACAACCTTGCGACACCAGTCCTCGATAGCTCCCATCATGAACAGACCAGGTAAGGCTTGCATACTTTGCCGTCGTCCGCCCTTGAGCCTCCCGCAACGCAGCCACCGTACGCCGCCGATTGCCCGTCCCTAGACGCTACCGACATGGGCATCTCGCGACTCAATGCGACCTTCTCTTTCATGGTCCCGTCCATTGAGTTGTCTTCATCCGTTGTGCAACGGCGCCTCGACCCTGGTTTGCTTGCTTCGCCAGAGCTTGACCTTGTGACGCCTCGCACCACCTCCGTGCCGAACCGGACGTCTGTTCCCTACCGCCCTGGCCGCAAAATGACCTCCGAACTCTAGCGACCGTGCCTTTTCCTGGGCCATGCGATCAGAAATCATCTCGCTGTCATATCCCCCGCCGGCCTGTTCATCCCTCTGGAACGCCTGTGTCGATCGAAACCTCGATCTCCTCGTTTACCTCTGCGCGATGTCATTGAGCACGTCTTCTGTACTTTGCGCTGACGAAGGATCGTATAGTAGGCGCAGTACCACAATCGATTCGAGGGATGCCTGGCTTCGGTGCCAGCAACCACAACAGCAGCAGCAGCAGCAGGGG